TTTTGTTCACCTTCTTCCTTCATCCTTCCTTCCTTTTTATCTTCCTTTTCTTTTCCCCTTTATTTTTAAAATTCCTTCCTTTCTTCCTTCTTTTCAATCTTCCTTTCCTTTTTCCTCACTTTTATTTTTAAATTTTCTTCCTTCCCATCCCCTCTCTATTCCTTTTTTCTTCTCCTTCCTTCCTTCCATCCATCCATCTTTTCTATGTTCCTTTCCTTTTCCTTTATTTTTAAATTTCCTCTTTCCCTCCCTCCCTTCCTCACTGTTACCCTTCTTTGCGTCTCCTCTCTTCTCCTCTCTACTCCATCTTCTGTTCATCTCCTTCCTTTCCTTTCCTTTCCTTTCCTTTCCTTCCTTTTCCTTCCCTTCCCTTCTTCCCTTCCCTTTCCTTTCCTTTCCTTTCCTTTCCTTTCCTTTCCTTTCCTTTCCTTTCCTTTCCTTTCCTTTCCCTTCCCTTCCCTTCCCTTCCCTTCCCTCTCCTCTCCCTTTCCTTTCCTTTCCTTCTCTCTGTCCCTTCTTTCCTTCTTTCTTTTGCTCCTTCTCTCCTCTCTTCAGGGGGCTGATAAAATCCAGCAGAAAGCAACCACACCCGAAGCCAGCCCCACATTTTCGGTCTCAGGGGAGGCAACTCCAACGGAAGAAATGGTATCTCTTCTTTTAACTTTATAGCCCGTTGCCCTCATTGTGTCCCACCCAAATTTATGACCTCAGGGTCTCAGCACTTAAAAAGCAGAGGCCGAGACATCTGTGGAAAGCCATGTTTGCAGAAATCAGAGGCCGACCTTTGGCTCCTGCCCACCCCTTGCAGAAGTCCTGTTAAAATGCACCCCAGGTGGAATTTGGACCCACCGATTGGAACCATTATGTATCTGACCACAACACGTTGTGTAAACAGAAGGGTGGGGAGGGGGGTTGGTGGAAAAAATAAAAGTGGAATAGAATGGAACAAAAGAGAATTTAGAGCAGAATTTAGAATAGAACAGAAAGGAATGGAATGGAATAGAATAGAAATAGAACAGAAATGGATAGAATAGAATAGAAAATAGGAATCAAATTGAATAGAAAATAGGAACAGAACTAGAACAGAACAGAAAGGAATAAAACAGAAAGGAATAGAATAGAATTAGAATAGAGTAGAATAGAATAGAATAGAATAGAATAGAATAGAATAGAATAGAATAGAGGAATCAAATTGAATAGAAAATGGAAATAGTACAGAACAGAATAGAATTCTTTATTGGCTAAGTGTGATTGGACACACAAGGAATTTGTCTCCGGTGCATCTCAGTGCTTGGTGCTCTCAGTGTACCTATGCACAACAAGTGATAAACTATGATCGTAATCATAAAATACAGTCATCATATGTCAAAATACCAACAGCAACTCTGCCATCCAAACTGATCTTCTGTTTTTGATGTCTAAAAAAACCTACCGAGCTCAGATCACACTGTCATTGACAGCCATCTTGGCTTTTTTGACCCCACCCCGTGGATCCCGTGATGTTGAAATATATTTTGGCTAAACCCTTTTAGATCCCCGGGAAAAATTCCACTTCCAGAGGGTGGCGTGTGGCAAGAAATGCCCATTTCCAGTGGCAAGGAGTTCCTAAGGTCATAAATGTCCTAACCACCTTTTCTCTCCTCGCCAGGTGCCGCCATCCCCAGAGGACAGCCAGCTGCTGCAGTTCTACATGGGGCAGTGCCAGACGCACTACCGCACCCTCCTGTCAGCCATCGAGGTCCTCTTGGCCAGTGCCGGGGCCCACCAGCCGCCCCGCGTCTTCGTGCCCCACGGCAAATTTGTCATTGTCACGGCGCACAAGCTAGTGTTCGTGGGTGACACCGTCTCCCGCCTGGCATCTTCAGCGGTTGTGCGGGCGAGGGTGGGGGCCGCCAGCACGGCTCTGTGCCAAGCCCTGAAGGAAGCAGTCCTCTCGGTCAAGAGCGCTGCTTTGAGCTACCCGTCACTGCCTGCCGCTCGCGAGATGCAGGGTTGCGTGGCGGAGTTGTCCCGCCAAGCACTGGCTTTCACCACCTTGCTGGGCACCCTGGCACCCTCTTGATCCGGGACTCCGCATGGCTGCCACTCCACCTTATGGTGGACGATGGGACGATAGGTCTCTCTTTCTGTGGAGGGTACCCGGCGGGGCCCATCCTGGCCAGTGACAGTTGTGGAATCGGTACCGATGTTCCCGCCTCAGCCCAGCTCGTTCATCCACCACCACGGCCGACGCATGTGCCAAAAAAAAAAAAAAAAGCACCCTGTTGTATCTCAAGGACCTGATCTTGGCCTCCTTCCTTACACCCTGCCCATTTTCCTTAGCCAAAGAACGTCCCTGGTTTTTGGAGCCCCTCGACGGCGTCTCTCAAACTCGTAGCCTCCTCCGCAACTGGGTTTCAGCAGCACGGGCTCTTAATCTGGAAGGGCAACCCCATCATCCCCGGAGATGAATGGATTTGCGGGAGGGTTGAGGTGGGGAAGAAAAGGGAGCCTTCGCTGCTTTCTGGATGCCCCTGATGGTCGAAACTCTGGAGGCGTAATAAGAAACGAGGAAGAAGAAAATGGCTGCCAAACAGGATGTCTCATTGCCAGACACCTCCCCTCTTCCCACCCCTCGATTAGCTGCAATAAAAGATAGTATGTCAAGGATTGGAAGGACAAAAAATATGAAAGTTTATTAACTGAATTGACGAAGCAATGACAACGGTCTGACCGTGGTCACTTTAAGAGGGGGATGGACTTCAATTCCCAGAATTCCCTAGCCAGCCATGGGGAATTCTGGGAGTTGAAGTCCACCCCTCTTAAAGTAACCACGGTTGAAAAGACCGAATTAGCAGAAACTCCTTCAAAATATCAGTATTTTGACAGAGACAAAATATTTCCCCTCCCCCTCAGAAAATATTTCTCAGAATCTCTAGGTTTGAGGATAATAAAATAGATGGAAAAAAAGGCTGTTTGTTTTTTTTTTTAACATTTTTTGACACGTTCCTTCTTCATACGACGGTACTGGTAGTCCTCGACTTACAACCAACCTTCTTAGCAACGGAAATTCTGCTCTCAATTGTGGTCGTAAGTCGAGAACGACCTGTCTGATCCACACTTCTGACATTCTTCTTGGGAGATCTTTAATATTATTTTCAATTATTGGAAGGGAGATAATCCTTGATTTACAACCTCATGCAGTGATCATTCAGGAGTGGTGCAGTGGCCTAGAGGTAGAGCTCTTGCCTCACAATCAGGAGGCTGTGAGTTTGATCCTACGTAGACAGATATTTCTCTCTGGCCACAATGAGAATATATCTGCTGAATAAAACTCTGCACTGTCAATAGGAAGGCCACTAATAGGCATCCGGCCACTAAACACTCAGCTCCATTCAGTTTGCACCAACTTCACCCTGCAAGGGATTATACGGTCATTAAAAGAAGAAGATGTAGTGAACATTCAAAGTTGGGGGAAAAATGACTTTTGACAATATTCTTCACACTTATAACTGTCGCAACATCCCTTGATCACATGACCAAAGTTCGAATGCTTGGCAACTGGCATGTACTTATGACGGTAGCAGTGCTCCGGGGTCATGTGATTCTCCTTTTGTGACCTGACAAGCAAAGCCAGTGGGGAATCCCTTAACGGTTACAAGCTTAACAATTGCAATGATTCAATTACAAACGGTGGCAAGAAAGGGGCAAAATTCACTTAGCAACTCTCCTGCTTAGCCACAGAAATTTTAGGCTCAATGGTGGCCATAAGTCAAGGACTAACTATATTAGGACCTTTTTAAAAACAGATTTTACAGGCAATGAAAACAATTGCATAGAGAGGTCGCTGCTTGTAGAGACCCCAGCATGATGTTTCAAACCTCAGCCCCTTTTAAGATTGGTGGACTTTAACTCCCAGAATTCCCCAGCTACCAAGACTTCTGGGAGTTGGAGTCTACACCTCTTAAAGGACCAGAGTTTAAAAAGAGACCCCCGAGGGGGATTTTAAGTCATGAACCCATCTCAGTCATGTGTGAATAGAATAGAATAATAATGTGATGTGATTTAATGTTAAGAAAGATAGAATAGAAAATAGAATATAGAGTAGAATACAATAATGTGATGAAATAATAGAATAGAAAATAGAATATAGAATAGAATAATGTGATGTATGAATAGAATATAGCAGGGGTGGGATTTTACCAGTTCGCACCTATTCACTAGAACCGGTTGTTATTCTAAGCAGTTCGGAGAACTGGGTGTTAGAAGAAATGACTGGCCTAATCCTGTAAGGAAAGCAGGAAGGAAACATTCTGGTGTTGCTTATAGAAACTGCCTCTCCGTTAATCCTTATTACATTCTTGGCAGGACTGAACTTCCTGTCTCAGGAACTTCTCTAGAGTTTTTTCCCCTCCTTTGTTGGTACTTTGCTTGTGTGGAGTGACCATTCAAAGTTACAATGGCACTGAAAAAAGTGACTTATGACTATTTTTCACACTTACGACTGTTCCCCACAGTCTGAAAGGCCAGGCGAGGAGATGCGTGCCTCTATGTGAGTGATGTTGAGTTGGCCACACCCAGCCAATAATATGACCACCAAGCCATGCCCATCAACTAAGCCACGCCCATAGAACCGATTGTTAAAAATTTGAATCCCACCTGTGGAATATAGAATAGAAAAATGTGATGTAATATAATAAGAATAGAATAGAATAATAACTTTATTGTCATTTTGAATGTACACTGATCGGCCTACATTAAAATGAAATTTTGTGGCATCCAGCTTTCAAAGGGTCGCCGCCTTATAATACACCTTACACGGACATGACAAACTAAATAAATAATCACCATGGATAAAATCGAATCGGGGAAAAAAAAATCCATGCCCAAAAAAGGTTTAAATTTCCGCCTTCGGCTACGATTGGACGAGACGACTGGCCGGATCTCCTGAACTACATCTCCCGGCATGCCTCCTTAATTTCCCCTCTTCCCCCCCCCCCCAAAAAAAAAAAAATGATTGCGGAAGCCTCCTCCGACGAGCGACCCGGACAGCAGCGCCAGCCCCTGCGCCCGATCCGAGAAGCTTCCCTTCTCCTCCGCGCAAAAGCTTAGGATCGCCCGCCCGGGGCTCCTTCCCAGCCTTATCATCCAGCCCTGCCCGGAGGGGCTGCTGCCGACGCCCCGTCCCCAAATCCGAAATAAAAACCCTGCCCGAATTGAGCTGGAGAATTGCAGCGGGCGCCAGGTTGCAGATCCCAGGGGGCTAAAGGAAGCCGAGGAGGCCGCTGCGTCGGGCCGGGGGGCGGTGGCGGCTGCTCTGGGTGGAGGTGGAGGAGGCGGCCTCGGGGCGGGGATTGCCGGCTTCCTCGGCCTGAGCCTCCGGGGCGGTGGCGGCTCGGCTTCGGGGAGTCTTGCAGCCGTAGGTGGGCGCCCTACCGGTCTTTGGTGAGCATCCCCAGTCTGGCTTCTCCCCACACGCCCCCCACCCTCGGCCTTTCCTTGCATCCTGCGCCGCTCCCCCCTTTGCTTTGCGCCCCCTTTGCCCCCTCCCCTTAAATGCAGAGCCTGCCCGGGAAAGGGGTCGTGTGAACACCTTTGGACACCGGCTTGCCTCCTTGTCTGCTTTGTCTCTTTCCCCCTTCTCCATCCTTTCTTCCTCAGCCTGGGCAGTACAAAGCCCATCTTCCTCTCCGGGCCCTCCCTTGCCAGCTTCCGGATGGATTGCAAGGCGTAACATCCCCAGCCAGCATGCCCAGATGCATCCCCCAGAAGGATTACAATGCCTAGTATCCCCAACCAGAATTCCCAGATGGATTGCAAGGCCTAGCATCCCCAGCCAGCATTCCCCAGTTGCAAGGCCTGGCGTCCCCCAGATGGGTTACAATGCCTAGCGTCCCCAGCCAAGAATTCCCAGATGGATTGCAAGGCCTAGCATCCCCAGCCAGCCCCGGGACCTTTCCTCCAAATGCATTGTGTGGGTGCCAGGGTGGTTTACCATTTGAGGGAGGGGCAATGGTTTGGGGCCAAATGGTTGTCAGCAGCCTAACCTGTTGAATTCCTGACACTCTGGCCATACAGCTGTGGGGTTGGGACCCCTTGACCCAAGGGAAATGGCGCCCCCATGCTGCTGCTTGTGGGAATTGCAGGCCAACCTACTTGTCTGGACTCCCATAATCTGCTTTCTCTCCTCATATGCCAAGATTCTTGGTTTATTTTAATCTGGGTTAGTAATTTCTGTTACCTGGTACAGGTAGTCCTCGACTTACGACCAATGGAGCCCCAAATTTATATGGCTGAGTGAGACTGTGAAGTGAGTTTTGCCCCTTTTTATGACTTGTCATATTTGTTAAGTGAATCCTACAGTTGTTAAGTGAGTCACACAGTTATTAAGTGGCACGGTTATTAATCTGGCTTGCCCATTGATTTTGCTCGTCCGATGGGGATCACGCCATCCCGAGGATATTGCGACCGTCAAATATGAACCACTTGTCAAGCATCCGAGCATAAATCATGTGACTATGGGGATGCTGCAATGGTCATGAGTCAGAAGTCACTTTTTTCAACGCCGTCGCGCCTTTGAATGGTCATTAAATGAACTGTTGGAAGTCGAGGACTACATGTATTGGGCATAGTGCTATATCACATCATCTGTGAAGATTGCTGGGGTTCAAAAATCAAGGCAAGGTTGTTCAGAGATGCAGCCGTTCATTTAAAGCAGTGCTGGCCCCTTTAAGATGGGTGGACTTCAACTCCCAGAATTCCCCAGCCCTGGGGAATCCTGGGAGTTGAAGTCTGCCTGTCTTAAAGGGGCCACGGTTCAAAAACATTTAAACACTCATTTCTTTCTTCCCTCTCGGTTTTCTCTTTTGTACTTATTGCTTTATTCATTTCATTTTCCCCTGTTCTGCAGAGACTTCCCATGGATACCAGCCCCCCGATCCCAGATCCGGGTGGTCCCCGAAGGGATTTTACCACCTCAGCTTCGGAGGTGGGTCCTCCCTCCTTCGAATGGCTGCTGGGGCGCCTGGGGGCCTGGGGCCAACGTCGACAGCGCCTTCTGCTGGCGCTCAGCTGTCTTCCCTGCGTCCTCGTGGGTTTGGCCTTGGGTTCAGATGCCCTCTTTGCTCTCACCCCTCTGCATCACTGCGGGGACCCCAACAGCACCAAGATGCCCGATAATGCCAGCTGTCATGGCCCCCACGGTCAAAGTGGGGAGACTGGGGTTCTCCCTATCCTCACCAGCAACCCAGTGACAGAGGTAAGTACCTCCACTTCGTTTTCCTGATGTAATCATCTTTTAATGACCCCCGTAATCCCTTGTGAGTGGAGTCTGGCAACTGAATGGAGCTGAGTATTTACTGGCCGGATGCCCTTCTGGTTTCCAGTGTGGAGTTTTATTCAGCAGATATATCCTCACTGTAATGATTTAGACAAAAGACCCCACAGCTGCCCAATGGGTGGAGGGTGAGAAAGAAGAACCTTCAGGCTGTAAAATAAACGGTGGGAGAGTGAAACAGGTAGTCCTGGACTTACAGCCGTTCATTTTAACAACCGAAATAACAACAGTGGTGCAGAAAAATGGATTTATGAGCGTTTTTTACAATTACAACTATCACAGCCTTCCTAAGATCACGTGATTAAAATTGAGCCGCTGGGCAACTGACTCATATTTATGATGGTTGCAATGTCCCCTTTTGCGACCTTTTGAGAAGGAAAGTCAAGGGGGAAGCCAAATTCACTTAGCAACCATGTGACTATCTTTAAGTGCTACAGTGATCCACTTAACAACGGTGGCAGGAAAGGTGGCAAAAATGGGGCAAAACTCACTTGGCGGCTGTCTTGCTTAGCAACAGATTTTTTTCCCCCCCAGCTGAATTGTGGTCGTAAACCGAGGACTAACCTGTATTGCAAAGGTCTGTTAATGTCGCCTTATGATAAAGTTGAATTGTGAACTGATGTGGAATTATTAAGTATAAGTTAATAAAAGTGAATAAAAGATTCGTAACCTATTTATTTCCCTTTAAGGGTTTTATGCGGCTCCAAGTCATGGAGATTGGAGGCCACCAAGGAAAAACAAAAGACAAAAAATGTTGAAAATGCTACAAGAATGTTAAAAATGTTATTTGCCTCGAGAATGTTAAAAATGTTATTTGTGCAACTGGACATATGTTAAAACACAGATTGTGGATTCTTTGTGAAGTTGTTTAAACTGCACATTGAGGCTGCTTCTGGGCCTAACAATGGGAAAACGGGTCATTGTTTTTCCCACTGTATTATAAGTTTTATTTGTACATTTTTCTTTACATCAGTGCTTAATAAACAGTGTAATTTGCGGGTCAATTTACCTATGCATAATATTGATAATAATAACAATTTTTACTTGTATATACCGTTTCCTCATTTTTCCAGTCTTGTGCAAATACAATTCCAGTCATTATTTTTCTCTACAAAGAAAAGGAAAAAGGAACAGCGATTTCTAAATGTGATCAGCAAGAGATTTTCCTTTGATTTTATTCAAGACGTGGCCACAAAGCCCTTTTTGCCAGTCGCGAAGCGATGAGATCAGATTTTTGATCTTCGGAAAGAGAAATTTTATTGCATGCTTCTAACTTTAAAAAAAAAACACTTAAAATGAATAGACTCAAGTTACAGACAGTTTTGTATAACAAGAAACCTGAAATTTGATTTCTAAACATGGCAAAAGAAAGATAGGATGAAAATAAAACGTGTGAGAATAAATGTGAATTTGGATATTCCTCGACAAACGACCACAGTGGAGCCCCAAATTTACTAAGCTGAGTGGCTGAGTGAGTTTTGCCCTATTTTACAACTTTTCTCTCACCACGTTATTAAGTGAATCGCTGCCATGGTTACGTTAGTCTTACAGTTGTTGAGTGAATCTCCTTTCCCCCTTGCCTTGACGTTGCTCGCCCGAAAGTCACAGAATCACTCTTGACCGTTATAACTATGAGTCAGTTGCAATCATATGAGCATAAGGGCTGCTACGATGACCGAAAGTGTGAAAAATGGTTGAAAGTCACTTTTTCAGTGCCTTTATGACTTTGAACCGTCACTAAATGGACTGTTGTAAGACGAGGACCATGGTAGTTCAATGCTAAGCCAGGAATGTGAGCCAGCCGTGTGCTCCAGCTGCCCAAAAAGCCAGTACAATCTTAGGCTGCATTAACAGAGGGATAGCATCAAGCCATAGAAATTTTCGGCTACATTGTGGCTGTAAATCAAGGACTACCTGCAATGCCAGGGGTTGGAAACGCAAGGACTGTTCATAAGTCGTTTTTTCCAGCACTGTCGTAACTTCAAATAGGTCGTAAGCCAAGGACTGCAAAGATGCAGTAGTCTGGAAAGATACAATCAGATTCGTACCAATATCAGATTTAAGTTACGCATTCATTCCTTCTCAGGCGTGAATGAAGGAATTAAAAAAAATAAAATTAAACAATTCCTTATCCTTTTTTCTCCACAGTGGTCCCTGGATCATTCCGGCAGCTGGGTGATCCCTCTGGAACAGATCTGTTTCCTCCTGGGCTTCGCTGCAGGGGCCGTTTTCCTTGGTCACCTGGCAGACAGGTAAGTGGGAAGGCTCGGACGGGAGTTTTTAGTTTTAAACTAAATGGGGTTGCTATGTATGGTTTACATGTTTTTTATTGGTTATTTTTTTTTATGGATTGCAAGCCATCTAGGGACCCATCCAGATGCGTGGCATATACATCGATTGATTGATTGAGTCATGCCCCTGTCGGAGTCTGAAAGAAGACGGACAGCTGAGAGGGAGTGGGAGTATGGCTCCCTTGGCTATGGAGGAAATTGGGGAAAGGCCAAGTCCGGCTGGGCAGAGCAGGAGAGAGGCAGAACAAGGGAAAGGCAGTTCGGAGGAAGACCCAGGCCCACCCCCTCTTCATCCTAGGGCACGCAGGGAGGAATGGAGAAGGGAGCAACGTGGGTTGCATGGCTTACGGGGTAGGAAAGGGCCCTGATTCCCTTTATTAGCCACACCTGGGAATGAGAGTTTAAAAGAGATACAAGCTGAGTGCAATGTCTACCGTGAACAAACATGAATTTATCTTGTGTTGACTTTGGTTATCTGTGTTCCTGGCATCCTCCCAACCAGGTTGAATTACTACTCCTGACCTGCCAGACTAATTACCCCATCTTGCCTTGACTGGACTTATAGTTACAGTTTTTGTTGACCATGTTTTGGACTTGATTCAACCAAAGGCTCTTCCTGGAAGGGTTTTTCTTCAGCCCAGAAGGTAACCTGGACATTGGAGACAAAGTTGAAGTTAATAAAGGAACTCCTACTGATTATTTGACTGTGTTGCCTTTGTGCCATGCCCCGGGTCATCACAGAATGAGTGAGCGAGTGAGTGCATTTTGGTCGTAAGTCAAGGACTGCCCTGTAATCTTTCAATTTCTGTTGCTCTCCGCAGTGTAGGGAGACGGAGTACCTTCCTCTTCACTTTGGCTCTCGGCTGCCCCGCAGGCCTCCTGGCAGCCTTCGCATCCTCTCCCTCCATCTTCATACTGGGCCGGTGTCTGTGGGGCACGATGCTGGGTGCCATGCAACTCACCCTCTACATTACTCGTAAGTCCCACGTTGGAGCGGCTTTAAGTGGGTGCTATCTAACAAAATGAGACTCAGCGGTGAAAAAACTTAAGGATCTACATTTAGGCAAGAAAAAGCAAAATGATTTTTTGTTTTTAAAATGAGTTTTAAAACAACAGCCCAAAAGGGAAGGAACAAAATGCAATTAGGACAGGAATACATATATCAAAGAATAACAGAGTTGGGAGGGACCTTGGAGGTCTTCTAGTCTAGCCCCCTGCTCCAGCCAGAGACCGTATATCATTTCAGAGAAACGGTTGTCCAATCTCTTCTAAAAAAATCTCCAGCAAAAAGCAAGAAAAATGATTGGGGGCTGGAAGCTAAAACATGTGAAAAAAACACATCTAAATTGGGTAACCGAATAACAGAGTTGGAAGGGACCTTGGAGGTCTTCTAGTCCAACCCCTTGCTCAGGCAGGAAACCCTATACCATTTAAGAAAAATGGCTCTCCAATCTCTTCTTAAAAACTTCCAATGCTGGAGGATTCACAACTTCTGGAGGCAAATTGTTCCATTGATTAATTGTTCTAACTGTCAGGAAATTTCTCTTCAGTTCTAGGTTGCTTCTCTCGTTGACTAGTTTCCACCCATTGCTTCTTGTCTTTCCTTCAGGTGCTTTGGAGAATAGCTTGACTCCCTCTTCTTTGTGGCAGCCCCTGAGATACTGGAACACTGCTATCATGTCTCCCCTAGACCTTCTTTTTATTAGACTAGACGTACCCAGTTCCTGCAGTTGTTCTCTATATAGCCTCCAGTCCCCTAATCATCTTTGTCAAATCTAGTATGACAAATCTAGTATGTCAAATCTAGTGAAAAGAAGGACTAGGGAAGACATGATAGCAGTATTCTAGTATTTGAGGGGCTGCCCCAAAGAAGAGGAAGTCAAGCTACTCTCCATAAGCCCTTGAAGTCAAGACAAGAAACAATGAATGGAAACTAATCAAGGAGAGAAGCAACCTGGAATTAAGGAGAAACTTCATCATCATTTTATTTTCAAAATACGTGTGTATTTACATTTTAACAGTTCTGTGTCAAGCATTACAATATTAAAAATAAAATACATTTTATTTGCAATTCTATTCCATATCAAATCTTATTTCTTTTTTCTAACCATATATATAACATTTCCCAAGCTTCATAAAACTCCGACTCCTCTTTTCCTTTTAGTTTTCTTGTAAGCCTATCCCATCTCAGCACAGTCAAGTATTAATTACCATAGTTTCAGAAGGTATATCATTTACTTTCCAGTTTTGGGCATAGGTGATTCTTGCTGCTGTTATTACATGTTGAATGACGTGTTGGATAAGTTTCTCCAAATTTCCTTTAATCATTCCCAGTAAAAAGTTTTCTGGCTTAAATTCAATATTGTACCCTGTAATTTCTCTTCTCCATCTCCTCATTTTTTCCCAGTACCTTTTGACTTTGAGGCATTGCCACCACATATGGTAGTATGTTCCATCTACTAGCTTACATTTCCAGCTGTGTGGGTTCATATTCAGATATATCCTGCCAATCTCGCCGGTGTCAAATGCCATCTATAAATGATCTAGATAATAATCTCTTTGTATGCTGTTGATAACGTTAATTTCCAGTTCTTGGTCCACATTTTCTTCCAATCTTCTAACTGTATGTTGTGACCTACATTTTGTTCCCGAGCACAAGGAGAAACTTCCTAACAGTGAGGACAATTCACCAGTGGAACTCCTTGCCACCAGAAGTTGTGGGTGCTCCATCACTGGAGGTTCTGTAGAATAGATCAGTCAACTATTTGTCCAGGGTGATATAGGGTCTTCTTGAGCAAGGGGGTTGGACTAGAAGACCTCCAAAGTCCCTTCCAACTCTTATTCTGGATAAGCACTGTCCCATCTTGACGCAGGCATAGGTCCAATCTTAAAACAGAGCAATTCCAAAATTAATCCAAGCTTGGAACATGGATGTTTTACAAGCCATACATTCAGGGAGGTTTGAGACATGGATTATAAATCACATCATCTCCTGCCCTTGTTCTTAAGCTTGGGGAAGCACTTAACCGCTTGTTGCCTTTGTTAAAATTTGCAACCTGAACTTCAAGCTAATTTTCCCAAGGGCTGTGTGTGTGGTTTTTTTCCCGTTTGCTTAATAATTTACATAATTAGGTTAATGTTTGTTCCTTTTCATTAGGACGGATAATATTGTATGGCCTTGGGTGTCCTGCAGCCTGCCTTTAAAATAACTGAAATTGAATAACAGACAAAATAGAAAAAAAAAATAGGTAGTCTTCCACTTAGGACCATAATGGGGTCCAGAAGTATGGTCATAAGTCACACCAGTCATTAAATGAGTCATCACATGATCAACTTGGTTTTATGACTTTTGTTTGCAGTGCTCATTAAGCGTATCATTGTATATGTTTTATTTGTAGTTTTCCTTTAACAACCAATATGTTTTGTGGACAGTGTAATGAGTGGGTTAATATATTTTTCACACAATGCTGACAGTGATAATACAATTACATATACAGGGCTTTTTATCTTCCAATTTCTAATTTTGGTATGCTCATTATAATTATAATATATTATTTTATGTATCAGTATATATTATACTATTTTCCCAATACTTATTTCTTTATTTTTCCCTTTTGTTGGGGTATTTCTATTTTCATCTCGTTATCTTTCAACAAAACTATTCTCTCTTTATGATTTTTCATCACATCAAAAATATATGTAAATATCAATAACATTTCTTCATACAATATACTTAGTAACTCCTGTTAAATCACTAATCTATATATACATAAATGCAAAATACTACTCGGGCATCATCAAATCTCCAGAACTGTAAGGCCTACAAACTTGACATTTAGCACATATGTTCTTCTTGGCTTCTAGGGCCTCACTAAGAAAGGATTTTTTGAAATGACCGTCGGAGCATTTAGAGTATTTCCTATATTATTATTATTAACATGCTCTGACGCTAAGGAGTTCTAGTCCCCCTCCCACCTGAAAATAAATCTTCCAAATGCAAAACACAAGCAGAGGAGAGGAGTTTCAATTTCACAGCACCAAGCAGCTTTAGTATAGAACAGTTGAGCTAAGCCCTGCCCAGGCTCCTTGCTGTCTCCTTGCTCACATAACAAATACTGCTTCAGTTTCCTCAACTCTCTCACACACTGACAGAACGCTAGCCAGATGAATACCGATGGATGCTGATAGGCAGAGGCAGAATTTTTTTCTCCTTATTTTCCTCCCCAAAAACTAAGCCCGACCACATAGTTTTGTAGGGAAGCACTGCTAGTTGATTAATATTATAAATATCACCCAGTGTTCCATCACATTTTCACTATCTCAGTTTTCTATAAACACCAATAAAACCATTTGTTGATAAGATTTAATCAGTCCTGATTAAATCATGATTCTCAAGTGAACATTATAATTAAGTGAGCCCGTTGCTCATAACTTTTTTTTTGTAGAAAATGCCCAGGGAATTCTGGGATGAAGTCCACACATCTTTAAATTGCTAACTTTGGAGAATGTTGCTCTAAACTTTCAGGTATAATTTGGATTAGAAATAGTCCTTGACTATTCCACTTAGTGACCGTTCAAAGTTACAGCGGTCCTGAAATAAGTGACTTAGGACCATTTTTCACACTGATGACCGTTGCAGTACCCCATGGTTATATGATTTACATTTGGAGGCTTTGACAGCAAACTCACCTTTGTGACGGTTGCAATTGTCCCGGAGTGAAATGATCCTCTTTTGCGACCTTCTGACAAGCAAAATTAATGGGGAAGACAGATTCACTTAACAATTGTGTTACTAATTTATGAACTGCAGCGATTCCCTTAACAAAGGTGGTAGGAAAAGGCGTAAAATTAGGCAAAACTGACTTTTTAAATTTCCCAATTAGCAACAGAACAGAACAGAACAGAACAGAACAGAACAGAATAGAATAGAATAGAATAGAATAGAATAGAAAATATGGAATGAAATGGAATGGCATGGAATAGAAAATAT